AAGGCAGCCGCAGGCTGGTGGAAGCGGCATGGCGCCCCCAGGGCCTGCAGAGGAGGCCATGGGCCAGGAACAGGGGACACCAGCCACGAGGCCCTCTACGTGCTCCCCCATCAGAGAGGCCCCTTGCCCTCCAAGCCTGGGCCCGGCCAGGCTGCCTGTGAGCAGACACCTGTCCAGCAGGACACGTAGCCTCAGTACACAGCAGGTGTACAAACCCAGCCTGCCAGGGAATTAAAGGCGTGCCCCACAGCACACAGGTTTCAACAAGACTCATGCCACCCCCGTGCTGCCTGCTCCACGAAGAATGCTGAGTTACATAAAATTAAAATAGTGTCAGAGCTGGCTGCTCTGCGTCTTTAATCCCACGAGGAAACTGAGGATACCTCCTTTTACCCTAATTCTACATTTGCAAATGGTTCTCAGCACATTCTCCTTCACCCAGAACCCTGCCCCAGGATGGTGTTGTGACAAAGAAGCCCAATTTGGACAATTTGTCCTCTGGCCAAACTGAACCTTAAAGGAAACCATTGGGTGCTATTCTCCAAGGAACACTAAAAGGAATCAAAGCCACCATGAGAACTGTTTTGGATAATCGAGTGGCTTCTTTTTATCTTCAAAGAACCGACATACAGTCATTAGCCTTCACACCACCCTCTGAGCTAAGAGGTTTGTTATTTCTCTTCTACAGGTGGGTGTGGAGCAAGGCCCTCACCTCTGCCTGGGGTCACTGGTGTTGCTACAGAGTCTCCAGGCTCCAGACTGGCCCACTTACATCAGCTCCTTGGGGCAGCCAAGTGCCCAAGGCAGAGCCACTGGAGGCTGGAGCTGGGCGGTCCAGGCTCCGGGGCAGCTGCTCCCACCTGGGCAGAGGCGGTGGCACTGCCCCTCAGTGCACTGGGGAGGCTGCAGGTGCTTTCGGCCTGTTGCTTACCAGGCTTTATATGTGATTGTTTGCTACTGTTTCCCCTTTAACAAGAGGTAGCCTCTTGTCAATGATAAACAAACTCCTTGTGACGGGGAGATGCAATCCTAACAGCTGGTGAACAGGAGAGCAGTCTGCGGCCCCGGCTGGCAGCAGCAGCAGCACTTCGCCTGGGAAGACCCTGGCTTTGGCAGTAGGCGTTCCCGCCCCCTCCCAGCCCTTGCAGGATGCAGACAGAATCTCCCATCAGCAGTGCAAGCCGAGATGGCAGCACCTCCACCAAGTGAGCATGGCCACAGCAGAGCCAAGTGACAGCCATTCTCGGTTTTAACGTTTGGTTTCCTCCCTTGAATTTCCTCAGCTGGCATTAATCCTAACGTTTCGATCGGGACTAAACCGAAGGTGCTTTAAAAGCTGGAGCAAAGGGCCTTGCAGTGCAATCAGGTTGCCAAACACTTGTTTCCCTCCCACAGGAGTTAAAAATCATCGCTGCAAGAGGCATGTGCTTCAAGGGAAATACAAGTGAACTCCTAGTTTCGATGGTACTTGTTACGAGTTCACCTGTTTCGCCTAACCCACACTAATGAACAGGTGGATAAAAACGAAGCCAAGTGCATCAAAGGCAACAGCTGAAATCCTGAAGCACAACACGCCTGCAAGTTTCATCATGCACAGCAGACGCCCGGCCTCTGCGGTTCAGGTCTGACGAGCTCATGGCGAAACCGCTCGCTCGCCCAGGAGAGCTCTGCGCTCGGCTTGGCTTCCTCATGCCCGGGTGGCAGCAACAGCAATTAGACCAAATTGCTCCTTCAATTAAAGAAAAGGAAACAGGACACAACCCAGAAAGACCCTAGACTTCCCAAAGGGGATGTGCCTGCCCTGCGGCCACTGCTTCCGGCAGTTTCATGCGTTCACTTCCCAGGAACTCCACGGCTGCGTCAGGCAATTGCTCACTCTCTCCAGCAGCTGGCCTCTCAGATGGCTGAGGTGCGGCCCACGCGCCACCCAGTGCCCTGCCTGGGGAGGGGGCACACCTTCCTCACCCTTTGCCCACACAGGGGTGGGGGCAGAAGGCTGAGCTCCTTTAAGCCTTGAGGACGTCCTTTTATTCCTCAGGGACAGGAAACAGAGGACTTCCCTTCGCCTAAGTACGGAGCTCCGAGAGCCAAATAAAGCGCACTCCCCACCCCTGGCTGGGGGGGCCATGGGAGAGAATGCCAGCCCTCCCACAGCTGGAAGCAGGCTTGGTATTGCTGTTTAATGCCCAGGCCTGCCATTTGGGAATTAAAAAAAAAAAAAAAAACAGAAAATGGGGGAACTCTTCATGATCAACAAAAATGTGAGAAAAAAAGAAACCTGTGGACAAAGCAACTGCAGAAGTGGACAGAGTGGCCCCAGGACCTTCTCGAGCCAAGGAATATGCTTCAAGGGAAATAAAGCTCCACTCCTAGTTTTCACAGTACTTGTCAAAAGTTCACCTTTTCACCGAACCTACACTAATGATCAGGTGGATAAAAATAAAGCCGGAGCCAGGGACGAGGAAGCCATTGGGGCATTCTCACGGGGGCTGAGCACACAGGTCCCCCACCCCCACCCCCACTGCCTGGCACAGGGAACCTGCCTCCCTGCCTGCAGGTGCCTAGGGCGGTGCCACACTCGGTGGGTCTGCCAGCCTCCCCTGCAGGCCACAGTGGATTGACTGACAGGCTACACTTTGTCAGACCTTCCATGGTTTTTCCATGACCTAACACTTCTTAATGTGACTCATGCAAAAAAATTAGGGCTCCACTTATACCCAAACCTTCAAATAAACCCTCTCAACCCCATCCACCCTCCTTCACCAGAATTATCTCCAACATAAATGCACTGCCCCAGGATCCACGCCACAATGGTCCAGTGGGCACACGCCATGACCTGCACCACCCCTCCCTGCACTCCACACTGGGCGTCCTCCCAGGAGAGCCTCCCCCTGGCCAACTTCCATCACAGCAATTAAACCGAAAATCCCAGTAAAATCCTCACCACCACCACCCCCAATGCGGCTGGAATGAGAGCTGCCTGTGGCACAGGCAGTGTATCCGCCCAAGAAGAACACCCGTGTTCATCCATACGACACATGTGCGGACAAAATTTTAAAGACCTCATAAACAAAAACATTTAAATTATTACATTGTTTTTAGAAAACTATTGTTACCTACCCAAGAAAACTGAAGAGACATGCTCAAACACTTACATACTCAAGTTCAGATTAGCATTAGCCACAACCACAAGAGCTAAGATACCCAGAAGTGGACTATTATCTGGGCATGAACAGGAACGAAGCCCTGAAGGCACCATGTGGATGAGCCTGACAGCATCACAGCAACTGAGAGGAGCCAGACACCAAGGGTGCAGTGTGTGCTTCCATTTGTGAGGCGTCCAGAATCAACGAACCACGGGGGGGCTGAGGCAAGGTTGGGGGAGACTGCTGATGGGTGTGAAGTTTCCTTTAGGGGTGATGAGAATATTCTGGAATTAGATGTATAGTTCAGTGGCTCTACCATCACCACAACAGTTTCTTTCAAGTTGAAATAGAGCATACATCTATTCATAGAATGGACAAAAGCATGAAAAACACATTCCTTCAACAGGAATTCTGGAAATGTTTTATTTTTCCAGATTTTCTTTCTTTTTTTTTTAAATTGATTTCAGAGAGGAAGGGAGAGGGAGAGAGAGGTAGAAACATCAATGATGAGAGAGAATCATGGATCGGCTGCCTCCTGCATGACCCACACTTAGGACCGAGCCCACAACCTGGGCACATGCCCTGACCGGGAATCGAACCATGACCTCCTGGTTCATAGGTCGGTGCTCAACCACTGAGCCATGCTGGCTGGGCCAGATTTTCTTTTTAAATGTCTCAAATATTCTCCTCATTTGAATGGCAATCCCTCCTGAAGACAATGGTAACAGGAAAGAAAAGAACAGGTGCCGAGAACATTTCTGAGACCAAGCGGTCAGCTCCCTCGGTGCCCAGAGCGTTGGGGAGAAAGGGCTTTCCTCGCGAGGGGCCCGTGGCAGGCCAGCCATCACAGCTTACCTCCCACCTCCATGCCCACTGCCTGGGTTATTACACCATCACCCCACTTTCCACCAGCCCTCTGGCCTCCTACACCTCATCAGAACCTGCAGCAGCCAACACCCAAGATCATGACATCACACTGAGTCACGGGCCCGAACATCTCCATTTAAACGCAGTCCAAAGTGTCCTGTTCTCCTGAAAGTGGGCCGTCGGCCTCTACAGCCTCACAGACAAGGGCAGGACCCACTTCACCCCACTGCAATTACAGAGCAGGAGGTGGAGCTCACGAGAGCTGCAGAGGCTGTCCACTCCCTCGGGGGGCGGGGGGAGCCAGCCCGAGAGAGAGCTTCATGGCATGGGCAGCCCCTCTTCTATGGAACTTAAACTAGATCCTTCCTCGTTAGTTAGAAGCAGGACGGCCAGGAAAGGGTAGATGTAGGCTCTGTGTTTAACACCCTAACCTGAGTATCTGCAAAAACTAAGTTTTAAATCACCTACCTGATTTCATTAGAGCCGTTCCAATAATTATACTCCCTTACAGCAGGAAACCCCAGAAGGACACGCCCCTGTCAGCCCGCCCACCGGCCTGCTCGCCGCAGCTCCTTGGGCACCACTGCCCCCTGGCGGCAACACGCAGGCTGACGCGGCCCATCTCCACTGGAGCAGAAAGCCCTCACTGACAACCCATGGCCAGCCCTGGGCAGCCTGAAGGTCCAGTCCAAAGCAGCGAAAAAGGCACTCGGTTCACTGTCCTGTCAGGGCTGAATACCTTCCTATGTTCCAGCCACTTCAGAATGGAGTCAGGTCAACAGAACTCGTCCCCCTGTTTGGGCAGCTCCACAGCTGACCACTGACAGCCCCTCCCCCAGGGCAGTGTTTACCAGGGCCTGCAGCATCCCGTCCATGGTGATGACGCCCTCGATGGTCTGGAAGGAGGAGCGGGCCAAAGTGCACAGGCTCCAGTCCAGGAAATCCGCCATCTTCTGTTTGACATCGGGCCGTGTGATAAACCTGCCAGAAGGGAACACAGGCAGGTAGCGGCTCAACCCAGGCCCAACCTAGGAGAACTCACCAACACCCCAATCTACGAAACGAAGACACTGCCCCAACTGTGGTCCTCAGGTAGCGATCTCCGCCCCCACCCCACCCTCCCCCAACCTCTCTGCAGTCCCGTGCAGTCCCCACCACCCCCAGCTCCTCCCCACTGGCCTCCACTCATCCCGAGGCCCCATTCACCACGAGACTACCTTTGCCTACCCCCATGGCTGCCCTGGGCCCCATCAGTGTCCACTCCTCAGCCCTCCCTCCTCCCCGGAATGCCGTGCCCCCACATGCAAGGCCTGGCCCAGCAGCAGGCCCCGCAGGTCTCTCCCTGCATCTGCCGTGGGTCTCCCTTCCCCATGACAGAGCTCCAGCTGGTGTCCATGGCCCCACATCCCTGACATCTGCTCAGCTCTACACCCTCCGCACTCAGATGGGTGTGCTGGCTCTCCCCCACCCTCTGTACACCTGGTCTGGGCTGGCAGCCATCCTCCAGCTCCCACACCAAGAACTCTATTCCTCCCCAGCCCATCCACACGCCAATCCCAGCTCTCTGACTCAGTGGCTCAGGCTGAGCCCCTGCCTCCTAGGGGAGCTTGCAGTCTGGGGGCAGAAACATAGGAAACAAGCAAATAACGTGAAGAAAACAGCTGAGTAAGGGGAGGGTGGGAGACAGTGCAGCCTCCAAGAAGTCCAGGGACATGTGACCAGAGAACGTCAGAAGGAGGCCTCTGTAAGGAGCTCACACTCCCCTCGGGAGCCCCACAGAACACACGGGAGGGCTGGTTGGCCCTAACGACGCGGAAGCACATGCTTGGGGTTCAGGCTTGATACCTGGTAGGGGGCTTGCAGGAAGCAGCCAATCAAGTTTGCCTTCTCACATCAGTGTTTCTCGCTCCCTTTCCATTCCTCTCTCTCTCTAAAAATCTAAACTATTTTTAAAAAGGAATATGTTTACAGGAGAGGTCCCAAAGACACAGATAAACAAAAATGGGGAAGATATCCACCCCACAGATAAAAATACACATTTATAGGAAGATTCTTCTACACAAAGATCTTTGAATCCTCTACTTCCTTCCCTTTCAGAAGTGATATCACAGCCCCACCTGCTCACACACCGAGCTCAGCCAACACGTGCGGGTATCTTAGAGATAAGCCCCAGAAGAACAACTAGAACGATTATCAGCAAAACCTTAACTACAGAACTAGACGTAGCAGAGGAACAAAGGATGCCTCGGCAAAGCATCCATGGGACAGACGGCCACTCCGGACCATCGTGGGCACTATGACCACACGCTGATAACTCAGTCAGCTGGTCTAAGAGGGCAACAGCACAGGTAAGGTGACAAGCACTGTTCTGTGTAAGAACTTACTGTGGTTTTTCGTTTGTTTGTTTTTCACATCCGAGAATTTTATTGGACATGGCTCTGGGCCTGGCAGGCCCGGCTCATGGCCCCCCAGCTAGGGCTGGAGGACAGTGGTTCCATACAAAACAATCTCAGAGCACACAGTCACCCCACAAAGCGACACTCTAAAGATTATTATACCTGGGAGACAGGAGGGCTGCTCCACAGATGTGCAAACAGGTCAAATCTTTATAAATAAACATACAGTGAAAACGACAACTCAAATTCATGCCTATACACAGAGCACTCTACGGCAGGTAAATGGGTGGGGGTGGCCAGAAGCCACCATCCTCACTGGTCACGGGACCTGGATGGGTGGGGGCAACAGACGATAGGCACTATTGGGCATTTACAAGACCAACTACTTGGGCCCTAACTGGCTTGGCTCAGTGGATAGAGCGTCGGCCTGCAGACTGAAGGGTCCCAGGTCCGATTCCAGTCAAGGGCATGTACCTTGGTTGTGGGCACATCCCCAGAAGGCGTGTGCAGGAGGCAGCTGAATTGATGCTTCTCTCTCATCGATGTTTCTAACTCTCTATCCCTTTCCCTCTCCCTTCCTCTCTGTAAAAAATCAATAAAATATATATATTTTTTAAAAAGACCAACTACTTGGGGAGAGTGGGGGCAGCTGCCTGTGCATGTGTGTCAGGCTGTTCATTCTGGAATGAGGAGGGGGTGGTCTTTACAGCATATCCTGTGGCTGGTGGGCTTAGAGAGGAGCTACTTTGTGGAGAGGATGAGGGCGACAATGAGACCGTAGAGACCCAGCACCTCTGCAAAAATGAGGATCAAGATCATGTCCACACATAGTTGGGGCTGCTGGGCAGTGCCCCACAGGCCGGTGCCCCCACAATGCCAATGGCAAAGCCAGCTGCCAGCCCACTGAGGCCCACGCTCGGGCCAGCGCCCAGTGGGAGGAAAGGCCTATAGAGACTGATGCCTTCACTCAGGGAGGTGGCAATAAGGACTGCCACCACCAGGCCACAGATGGCAATGATGCCAGCCGTGACCACTGGGACGATGGACTTCATGATCAGCTCTGGTCGCATGACGGACATGGCAGCAATGCCAGTGCCACTCTTAGCCGTACTATGGGCAGCACCCAAGGTGCTGAAGACCATGGTGGCTGAGGCGCCCATGACCACGAAAAAGGAGGCATACTCGGGGCTGCCGCTCTTGACCTCGGACCTGTCTGTGAGTGGGGTGGGGGCAAGCTCAGCAGGCCGAGGTGGGGGGAGAACCAGCTGGGCGAGGCAGGAAGGCAGCTGGCAGCGAGTGCAAGGTGAGCAATCAGACGGCGGCTAAGGCTCAAACTTACTGTGTGTTTTTAAATAAATTTATGGAAAAGTGAAATATTCACAAAACTGCTAGAACAACCAAGTGACCTGTGAGGGGAGAGATCGTATAACCGTGTACCGAAAGAAATTCCACATGGGTTAGTAACTGTACATTAAACAACAAAGTAGAAAAACATAAATGACTACTTACAAAATTTGTTAATAAGACTTCAAGCTTAAAAGTAAAAATAACTAAAATAAGGGGAAAATTACTGTTTTGACTTTTTTTATGTTTTTATTGTGTATGTGTTTTTTTAAGAGAGAGGGAGAGACACACTGATGGGAGAGCAGAACATCAATCGGCTACCTCCCACACTCACCCCAACACAGATCGAGCCTGCAACCCGGGCATGTGCCCTGACTGGGAATGGAACCGGTGACCCATCAGTACACGGGATGACGCTCAACCAACTGAATCACACCAGCCAGGGCACCGTTTTGATGTTAAAAGTAAAACTTTCGTCCAAAGGAGAAAGTAAAAGGCCACCAACCACCCACACCTGTGGGAAGCTCCCGCTAGTGAAGACAACGCACCAAGAGACCCACACACAGAAGTCAGGCCACAGAGCAGGCAGGTGAAGCCTAAGACAAGAAACAGGTGTTGAACCTCACCCGCTACCAGCACCTGACACAGGGGACAGAACGGGGCCATGTCACTGTGGTGACGCCGAGTGAATAACGCAGGATGCCAACTCAGTGAGACTGTGCGTGCATGGTCGATGCGTGCATGGGCAATGCCATAGCAGTGCAGACAAAGAAAGAAATGCAACACAGGTACAGTGCATTAGAATTACAAATGTGTGTGGGGGTTTTCTAATTTTCTGTTCCAAAATTTCCAACTTTCCTATATACAGCTCAGATTGCTTTCATAATTAAACAAAAACATCTGCTTTTAAAATTGATGTAATCAATAGGAATAAAGTCATATGTTTCCACTGACAAGTGTCTATAAAAGAAACTCAAATCTAAACGTCTTGGCATCCACAGAACATCAAGTTACATAAAACAGCCGACGTTTCAGGTTCAGTTAGTAAAGAGAAACGGAAAGCTCCGAACTACAAGTAGTGAAGGGAAAACATCTGACCTCATTAGACAGGCAGCTCCCTCTGCAAAATACCAGAAAATAAGCAGGCAGAGGAGAAAAGACACACGCAGCCAGCCCTGCACACCCATCACCATACTGAACAACCCACACACAAAAAAGACAGAAAATGTGAACCAGAACCTGCCTGGGGCACGCGTGCTATGAGGTGAGTTAACCTAGAGCAGCTCAGAGCCCTCATCCAATGACCACTGGCGCCGGTTCCAGGAAGCCTGAGAGCAGGGCTGCACCGCAGCCTGGCAAACTGGCTGGAGCATTTTAATGCGCTGAAAACCCGACCACAAGGAACACTTGCTCCTGTTGACCACCAGATGGCGAGGGAGAGTCCGTCAGTGGCTGAACCTGCCCCCATGCCAGGACTGAGTCTCTGCTGTCATCTTTCCCATGGAGGCCACCAGGGAGGGAATAAAAGGTTTAGGGATTCACCTCCTCCACCCCACAGACTCAAAACTCCCCAAAGTCAGGCTCAGCACAAACCTACCAATCCCTCAGTAATTCTGGTAACAAATAAAAACATTTTTCATTCATAAAGTCACACACAGTATTGGTAAATATGGGGAAAAGGTGACTTTCAATTTGTTCAACCTTTCCAATAACATCATTTAAAACCCCTAAAATGCTCATTCCACTTCTAGGAACTCACCCTTAAGAATCAATCAGAACAGTACAAAGTTTTATGCAGGATGTGCATGTCGGTATTAATTTTACTAACCAAAGGTGGGATAGCAGCCCACATGGCCAACAGGAGGTTGGAGAAACCACACTCACATCATAACCATGAGGCAGAAGACTGAAGGGAGCTCCAGGCCTGTCGGCACCTGGTACGGACACGCATGGGCACCAACACGCCCGCAGACAAGCGCCCACACACAGTGGCAGGACAAAGGACAAAAGCAGTTCCATCTCAGGGAGATGGAAGTACATGTGAGTTCTATTTTGTACTTTGTGCTCTTCTTTATTTTCCGAAACACACGCGATCACTTTTACTATCAGAAATCAATATGCCGCCTTTCAGTCCTTGTCCAAGCCGTGGGGCCTCAATCTGGCAAGCGTCTCAGGCAGCTCACTCCTAAAATCAGCTTCTTTCGTTCAGGCTTCTTACGTTCTGTGGTTCAGCAAGTGCCTTCACAAATCTCTCTCCCAATGCCCCTAAGTGCCCTCTGAAGTAAGTGTTCCACTTCCCACTTTGTGCGAGGAGGCCATGGCTGTAAGCATAAGGTGACCCGGGATCCCTGAATGAGGTGTGGCCCATTTCCCAATCAGAATATCCACACGTTTTTAGAGCCAATTTCCAACGTTCACGAATGTAGAGGAAACCCAAAAAAGCCAAGTTTTCTAATGTATTTTCTCTACACACATTTTACACCATGTCATACAAAAGATTAATTTAGAAAAACGGCATCTTTCCATCCTCACATGTCAGCTTCTGCACGCAGTGGGCCCACCGCCTGGGTCGGCTTACCCAGCTCATCAGACAGAGCCATCCTACCTGTTTGAGGCCTGGCCCATTGTTTAGTTAACCTAGGTCAGTGATGGCGAACCTATGACACGCGAACTCATTTTTTGGGTTGATTTTTCTTTGTTAAATGGCATTTAAATATATAAAATAAATATCAAAAATATAAGTCTTTGTTTTACTATGGTTGCAAAGATCAAAAAATTTCTATATGTGACACGGCACCAGAGTTAAGTTAGGGTTTTTCAAAATGCTGACACGCCGAGCTCAAAACGTTCGCCATCACTGACCTAGGTGATTGGGGATTTTTATCCCAAGCCACAATGACCCAATCACAGCTCATGATCTGCAGTAAAATGCTTTCTAAGTGACTTTCAAAGGCACGTCTGCCACCCTATTCTATATCTGCCCTCTGCTCAGTTGATGGGCCTATCAGGTGGCCTCCTTGAACCCATAACCCAGTCTCAGGACTTCTGTAAGCCACTAACCCACAGTTGGGTGACCTGTGCGTCCTGACCCAGGATCTGATAACCTGTGAGCCCCAGCCCACTGTCAGGTGACCAATGAGCTCCTAGCTCATAACAGGTGACCTGTGAGACCCTAACCCAGCATCAGATGACCTGTGTGAGCCCCTAACTGGCACTGTCAGTGGTCATGAGGTTCACAGATCTCCCACACCCAAACAGAGCTGGTGCTCCCTCAAAGAAAGAGACAGAAACACCTCCCCAGGCCCGTCAACCCAGTGGACAACACAGACACACAGGTAACACAGCATCCTATCCTATCTAATAAAAGGCTAATATGCAAAGTGTCCCCTTGGGAGTTCAACTGGCAGACCAGGAGTTGGATCGCTTGCTATGACATGCGCTGACCACGAGGGGGCAGCGCAGAACATGGCGGGCCATGGGCAGCAGAGGCAGGGCACTGAGGGAGCAAGGGAAGGAGGAAGCGGGGAGGCCAGGAGGCGGGGAACCACACTGTGGTGGTGCCAGGAGGCGAGGGAAGGAGGCGGCGGGAAGGTGGGGAACCTGATCGGCCCTGATCACCGGCCAGGCCTAGGGACCCTACCCGTGCTCGAATTTCGTGCACTGGGCCTGTAGTGTAAGTCAAACCCTCAGAAGGGCAGCAGTCACACATCCACCAACAGGGCCGCAGGAAGGCAATCGGGCACTTACTTGGACACGAGGACGGCAGCCGCGTCTCGGGCCTTGTCACTGACAACCAAGTAGGACTACAAGAAAGCATAAAGGAGAGGTGCCATTACACACAGAATAAATCTCAGGGGGCTGCTCAGCCGGCCAGTCCTGCACTCAGGAGCTTCCCGAGAGCCCAATGCATGAAGCTCACAGACAGAGGCCAAATGCCAAAGCTGCACAAACCTCTCTGAACTTGAACTAAAGCTGCAGCTGTCGAGTGCTGTGCTCCTCAGGCAAGCGCCAAACCACACACGGTGTGTGTCATAGCCCTACAAAGACATTTGCAAGAATAGCAGAAAGATGAACCGTGTGTGTTACCCACCGTAACAATCAGTGTCCACAGAGGACACTTGGGGCCCTAGAGCATTAAGTATCAGGACAGTTAGGAGGCCTCATGCAAACAGAAGGGCCCCTGGGTCTAACACAAACGACTAGCTTTTCTTAGGAGGCCCGCCTTCAGAGGTTTCCAATTCTCATCTCAACTAACTTTTTTCCAAATAACACTCTTAAAAGAGCTTTTCTCTGAGGCAGGCTTTCCGGAGAACAACCGCACAGGGTGCCAAATGGTTAGCAATGTACCGCCCTCATCCGGCAATCCCGCCGAGGACACAGCACACAGGGACCCCAAGGTGCTCACCACCACCTGCTGTGACCGAGCACACCTAGAAACAGTGTCCATCTGTGAGAGAGTGTTTTAAAACTGGGTACAGTGGAGCACCTTTGTCCTTAAAGATTATGAGGGCGACATCTGACGTAAGACATTCGGGATGTGCTGCCAAGGCCCTGCTGAGGCGGGCAGTGAGGAGCACCGTAAAAAGCACAGGCTCCAGAGCCAAGCTGCCTGGGTTCAAAGGCGGATCCATTTATGAGAAAATGAACCAGCTAAGTTACTTATCTTTATGCCTATTGTCTCCTCAGCGAAATGATTAAAACAGTGAACTGACTCATTAAGAAGGATTAAATGAGTTAATACATGAAAAGCAATCAGCACAGTGTCTGCACACAATGGCGCTCAATGAATGCTTGGTATGAAAGTATGGCTGGCAGACTGTAAGGTGACCCCTGTCCTGTCTGCGGGCACTTGCACCCTGTGTAATCCCTCCCAGATGGGTTAAAAGAATGTGTGGGGAGAGGTGGAGGTGGACATCACCCCATGACAGTAACGCATCACTGTGACTGTGTCTTGCCAGCAGAGCCTGGCCTTGCTGGCTTTGACAGCATAAGCTGCCCCGTTGGGGGACCATGCGGTAAGGAACGGCCAACAAAGAATTAAGGCCCTGAGGTTCTGATTTCTGCCACCAACCAGGAGCGCTCGGAAGCGTACCCGCCCCAGGGGCCTGACTGCAACCAGGGGAGACCTCCAAGCAGAAGGCGGAGTAGCCACGCCCAGAGTCCTGATCCACTGAATCTGAGATGACACACGTGTTAAACTACTCAAGTTTAGGGTAAGTCTTTAAGCAGCAGTAGATACATGCACAATATTTATATCAGATGTTTGAAGACTATATACAAGTGTTATCTCCTGGCACTAGAATTTGAGAGACTGTATTATCTTTGATGCCTCTCTATTTTCTAGTTTTTCTACAATGATCATGTATTATCAATAGATTTAAATTTAAATAGACCTTTATTTTATCTTACCATTGCCACCTGAGACCTCTTATATGTCATTATGCTTAGAGTATTTGCAATATCTATAAAGAAATGAAATTTGCTAAAATAATTCATCCTGACCTCTATATGACTTACCACAATTTCCAAATAAGTAATGAAATTTTACCTCTGAAAAGTAATAACAGCAACTGCAGAAATACAGAAGTGTCAAGAGTGTACCTAATTAAACTCTAATATCAGGACAGCATGAGCACAAAAGAGCACTAACTATTGGTAATTACTAGTACAACCACACTCACCTGTGCTATTTGGAGAATACGGTCGGTTATGGACATTCGTGTTTGCCCGGGTTGGGTGTGAAGGTTCCCATCAAGGCGTGTAAAATCGAAAGGGATCAGGCAGGTCATGGAGAGCCACAGTAGAAGCATGTAGCGGGTCTCCCAAGTCTAAGGAGTTAAACCAAAATAAAATGATTCCTGTATAAAGGAGGGAGGTAACCCACACGCCCCGATCACAAACCTGGTATCCTCCCTGCCCACTCAATGCCCACTCCAGGCCCCTCAAACACCACTGACTTGAGTCTGGGGTTCCGGCCATCGCTAGCTCCTCCACTGACTTCCCTATACCCCACCACACCACACACACCCTCTTCATACAGACGTGGCTACCACAGCAGACCAAACAAACAGCAAAGGGGACAAAGAAAAACCATCACACATCAGTATGACAGCTTTTCTTCACTGGCACGCTTCAGCATGCAATCAGCCTTTTGAGAAAGTAGAAAGCACATAGAAACAGAAGACGAGAAAAAACTCTCAACTTCCCATCAAAGACAAGTGCCCAGAATTTCAGCAGTCAGTGAAGCAAGACTCCACTTTGGCCCTGGAATCACCTTCTCTGCAAGAAGCAGAGGAGCCCGGCCTGGCTCAGTGGTTGAGCGTCGACCTATGAACCAGGAGGTCAGGGTTTGATTCCCGGTCAGGGCACATTCCTGGGTTGTGGGTTCAATCCCCGGTAGGGGGTGAGGTAGTCGATCGATGATTCTCATCAATGAGGTTTCTATCCCTCTCTCCCTCTCCCTTTCTCTCTCTGAAATCAATTTAAAATTTTTTTCTAAATATATTAAGAGAAAAAAAGAAGCAGAAGACGCCCTAACCGGTTTGGCTCAGTGGATAGAGCATTGGCCTGCGGACTGAAAGGTCCCAGGTTCAATTCCAGTCAAGGGCATGTACCTTGGTTGCGGGCACATCCCGAGTAGGAGGTGTGCAGGAAGCAGCTGATCGATGTTTCTAACTATCCCTCTCTCTTCCTCTCTGTAAAAAATCAATAAAATATATTAAAATGTTTAAGTAAGGGGACTCGTTTCCCTCCCCACGTGGGAGTCTGAACTTGATCTTCAATAAATCTCCACCTTTGCTATACCTAAAAAATAAAATGTTTAAATAAATAAATAAAAAAGAAGCATAGGAGAGCGGGAAAGGCTCACCCAAGACTTCAACAGAAATGGGACACATTCGCACTAAGACCTTCAACCTGTGGTTGTAACTATGGGCTCTTCTGAATCCAACGGGTACAAGAGTGCTCCCTCCACAGGCCTGGCTGCTCTCCTCAGAACGGCTCGCGTACAGGGCAGCCACCATGCCCATCAGGGGGCCTGGATTTCATTAGAGTTCCCACCATTCCCTCACTGACAAGGGTGACTCACTGTGCCTAGATTGACTGCACAGACCATGAGGTTTATGCTGAACACCTGCTTTCCTCTGGGAGCCTGAGGGTGCAGTCCATGCTCAGCAGAGTACCTACAAGACCAGCCCCCACAGAAACCACGGGTTCTAGTCTCCATACCTTCCCTGGGGGACACTTCACACGTATGGTCACCACTCGGTGCTGGGGAATTACAGGTGTTCTAGGTGACCCATCCGGGGGAAGACTGGCAT